CCAGGGTGATCACTTGGTTGGGGGTGAATCCACTAAATGGTATATTAGTGTTCAGGTAAATTCAATATGGGGGCAGCGCCTTACTTGCGATGACGATGGCAGATTTTTTGGTAGAGCTCTCTGGACGAAGGCGACTTCTTAGCTTACATATAAAGCCAACACTGTCTTAATCATCCCCAACCTATCTCAAATTTTTCCTGAATACTTAGTCCATCGCTAGAGATGGGAGACAGACGCAAATCCAAACACCACACAACTGTGGCTCCAATATTCCGCAGCAGACCAGAACGTAACACATAACATGCCGAAGAGCACCGGGATTCCTCACAAGTAAAGATTGAAAAGGCATGCTGAAAGAAATTAAAGACCATTTGGCCTCTGAATTGTCTACATTTTTGGCTCCTTTCATGGAGGGCCTGGCTGATCTTACAAAGAGAACCCACAATGTCGAGATCATCCAACAACCGCTCAGACTTTTCGAAGACGCTCAAGAGGATCTTAATAGGTCTTGACGAAATAGCATAGAAACTTGGGGCTCCTGGAATCGAGAGATACTCCACCTTGCGAGAAACATTCTGTGGCTTCCTCCAACATAACCAACCAGCAGAGATGGTCATCATGGCCCTATACTTGTAAACACTCTTATTTTCTGGCACTTTCGCCCTGCAGGGGGTAATCTAAACCATCTTCAGATCTGCTTATTAATTTAGTGAACTTAAATGTACTTTAGAAGATTTATGCAACCATACAAGGAACCCTCATCACCCTTCTGCAGGTGATCCGATCTAGCCATGGAATCAAAGAACTCACCATCAGGACAGAATCATTTAAAGTAGCGGCATATGCCAACGATGTCCTCCTGACGCTTAGAAATCCTGAATCTACATTAGAAACTCTTCTTTTTTTTGTCTACTTTTACACAGCTACTCTGAAATTTTGGGTTATCAGTTGAACCTCACCAAATCTGATTTGCTCCCCCTCAACATTGATAAAGATCGCCTACATACATATATGACAAATGTCCTTTTTGTAGCTCAATGAGAGTTTTGCATGGCAAGTGCTCTGTGCAGATGTAACGGGGTGGGAGGGAGGGGTGTAGTCTGCACTTTCTGCAAAACAGAAAAAAAAGAGGATATACTCTTCAATCATAAAGCTTTTCAGCAAACTAAATTGCTTTAGGGCTCTGGAGTGTTCCTTTAATTCACTTAAATGACTCTTTGCATTACCTCACCTTGGTGTTAACATCATATCACCTGCCTGTTCTAATAATAGTGTACCTCACAACTTTGTGTTGTTCCATCCTTGTGTACAGTGTTATTGTTTATGACTACGAAAGAAGAAAATAAATCCCTAAATTCAACAGAAATTTGTGATAAAATGGCAGAGTGAAAATGGTTAAAATGTCCCACATTAAATAGCCAAAGGGGTCTTTTTCTGTAAATGGTATGCCACAATGAGTGTAAATGGAGGCATATATTATGTCCCAAAATGGACATTGCTTCAGGTAATCAATTTGGATAAAATTGGAAATTTGGAAACTAACAGATTTATGAGCAGTTATAGGGTCAGATTACAGGCCTACCAAATTCAAAGGTCTATATGTTTATCCAAGTATGCAATGTATAACCTAGAGCAGGGGTAGGCAACCTACGGCACTCGAGGCGCCTTTGCACGGCACTCAAGGCTGCTAGAGCCAAACAGGCTCTGGCCTATCAGGAGTCCCAGTAAAACTTCAGACATCTGCTAATCCGAAAAGGTGGTGAAGGACAATCCTCAATTTATGCATTGCAGCACGTAGAGGAAGTGATCTCAGATCACTTCCTCCCAGCACTTGTGCAGTAGTAGAGCAGCACACAGTTGCAGCTACTGTCTTTGACATGTACCTTGCTGGCCTGGTCCCCACTGGAACCCAGGGAAGTCACCCACACTGCTATATATACACAGAAATGAAGAATAACCCTTCCCACCATACAAATAATACGGACAGCCCACACACAAACATACACACAATCCGAACAAACGCAACACCACTAACAATCCACATACATGCACACAACCCCACATGCAGCCTCTCACATGCAATACCCCAAACAGCCCCACACGTACACACACTACAAAAAGCACAATGTGACATATCCATCCACACACACAATTCCACAAGCAGCCCCCATACACAGCTTACATTCATTTGTATCATACACAATACCATAAACTACTCATGAACATATACAATATAATAGCTCATAAACGCAGGGCCGTCTTTAACGCGGGGCAAACGAGGCAACCCCGGCCGGTAATCTGCACACTGAGGCCCACCGACCCATGCACCAAGGGCCACCCGGTGGGCTTCTCTCAGCAGGGGTCTGGTCGCGCGGTGAGGCGCTTTAACAGCGCGAGTGGGCCCCTTGCTTTCCGGCAGCAGGCTGGGAGGAAGGGACTGCCGTGCATCACTTCCTCCCACAAAGAGAGGAGCGCGCAAAAAAAAAAAAAAAGAGTAGGCAGAGCGGAGGGGGGCTGGCCGAGAGATGTGTCAGCATGTCTGTGTGTGTGTCAGCATAGCTGTGTGTGTGTGTGATAGTATGTCTGTGTGTGTCAGCGTTGGGGTGGAGGACGTGATTGCATGCCTGGGGAGGGGGGACAGGGTCCAGGGGGCCCCAAGCAAATGCTTTGCCCAGGGACCAGTCAATATTAAAGATGGCCCTGCATATGCGCACATATACAACGATACAAATCAATTACAGTAAAAATAACACAAGCAGAATACGGCAGCATACACACCTCAATTTAAAAAAAATAGCACTGCACGCTATGCGACATCACAATCCTATATCGGCACAGTCCTGCTAAAAGGTTGCCTACCCCTGACCTAGAGTGACCGGACTTCACATAAAACAGACAGAATAGTTAGGACTTGCCAAGGGTCAAGGACAAACAACAATAGACAATTGCTCACTATGCTGTTTTAAAGGCTGGAGGTGTAATTGGTATAACCACACCCCCAAATGTCAAGGGGTGGTGATTATGCTTTATTTTGTAGTACATGATAGGGGCATGACCAAAGCAGCAGTTTTGCTTTAATAGCCGGCAGAGGCTTGGAAAATTCCATGCGCTGGATAGGCACTCCCCATGACCAGCGGACTGGCAAGGTAACAGTAGAAGTCCTGACAGGTATATAGTTGTGCGCTGGAGCTGAATACAAATATGTTTGTTTTTTACAGTAATGGGCCACACAATGTCTATGAAATTCCCCATGAAAATGAAATGTGTGAAAACACAATTTTTTTTTTTAGATATATCTCACAATCGAGAGGTATGTGATACAGCGGTTTAATTAAAAGTGTCAAGTTTTAAATAACTTGGTGGGGGTATAATTTCAACAAATATATAGTTTTGCTTAGCAGTTTAGGATTCTGTGTTTATCTTTAAAACTGTAAAACTATGCCTTGCAATGGTTGCCCTATAATTTTAACAGGAATAATAAGCAAATCTATTAATTTTTTCATTGGGGGAGGAGGGGGGTTGCATAAATTATTGTGCAAGCTATGAGTTTTTATTCTTTTAATTATTCATATTTAATATTTTGCTATTGCCTATACAGCCGATGCTAAATTTGCACCTTCTCTAAGACCCTTTTTCCTCTGTGGATAAATAAATGAATATTACCTGCCCTTTAATTAAAAAAAATGGAAATTAATCTAGTTGATTTTTTTTTTTAAATCTTTTTTTGATTTCACTTTTTTTTTTTAATTTGTCTTTTTTGACATTTTAAGATTGTCTCCATAAAATTTCAAAAAAGGACTTCAATGGAAACACTTTTCAATTTCTGTTCATTGTGACATTTCAAAAAGAAGAAATTTTAACTTAATGTAAATTATTTTTTACTTTGTATTAGCAGTAGTTCAATTTTGGGCATGTTCTTTCTTCATAGGGACAGGTAACCTGAATTTTTATTTATTTATTTATTTATTTATTTTTACTTCATTCCAAATCCTTTAACCCCTTAGGGACTAAACTTCTGGAATAGAAGGGAATCATGACATGTCACACATGTCGTGTGTCCTTAAGGGGTTAAATGCCTTGCAGTAATGGAGCACCTGAGTAGTAACAAGAAATAATCAGAAAACACCAGTCAACTGCAAAAATATATTTTTATAAATGGGAAGGGAAACATACTGGCGCTAATAGTAAGAAAAAAAATAACTAAAAAAAATGTCCAAAATAAGCTTCTGCTGAGAATTCTATGTCTAACATGACAAATGTGTAGAAGTATGACCAAGTTGCGGTGAGATGCCTGAGCCTTTTCTGCCCACATAGTGTCTATCGTGTAAGTAGATGGGCCTTTATTTTCTCTGGTAGCTTCACACCGCAAGATTTATAAACACAATAAATGGTTTCTGTAATCCATCGGGCAATAATTGATTTGGAAGCTGCTTGTCCTTTTAAATGACCTTTGAAATTGATGAGGAGGTGTTCTGCTATTTTAGAAGGAAGCAATCCTGTCCAGACAAGTCCGAACCGCAGGCTTAACATCTAACAAGTGAAGTCTGGTTTCCTTCGGAGATGATGTATTATGACAAAAGGAAGGGAGAACAATTGTCCAATTTATGTTCACTTTCCTAAAACTTTAGAGCAAAAAAAAGAGGATTTAAATGCAGAATAACCTTGTCTCGATGGAAAATGGTATTTCACTCACTCTTTTTGCTGATAATTGCAATTAGAAAAGTAACTTTTGCCAATTAAAATTTTTAGTTACACCTTTTTAAGAGGTTCAAATAGATATTCACATAGTGAGTTGAGTACTTAAGACAGATCCAAGGAAATAAAAATACACTTTTGAGGAGGGTGTAATTGCCAGATGACCTTATCTCCTTATCAAAATATTTGAGGCAAAATCTTGTAATAAGTGCCAAGACCTGAATTTTAAGGGTTGAGATACTCAAACCTGCTGAAAAACCTGATGTCAAGAATTTGTCTGCAACCAACAGAAGTGCAGGCCAGAAGTGCCAGACTGCCTCCCCTACATTACAGAGGAGCAGACTAAGTATGCCACATAATACTGTAAGTGGTGTTGCTTTAGAGCTCTGGATTATACTTATTTACCTTGACCTCTTTGGAATAAAAATTTGTAGTAATATGCTAGTTCTCCATTTATCACAGAGCTCCACAACAATAAAACTTCCAGTAACGTGGAGCTCTGTGAAAGGTCATACACTACACAACAATACAACTCTAAGTAATGTGTCTATTAGTGTATCACCGAGCTCCCTAACTATAAAACACAGAGTAATGTGCATTTTATATACCAGAGCTCCACTGTAATACATCTTACTATAATATGATGTAATGTATGTGATAGGTGTGAAGGCTGTGTGTGATATTTGTAATGGGTGTATTAACTGTGTGTGATATGCGTGTATTGGTTGTGATTTTTGTGCTGGGTGTATTGGCTGTGTGTGATGGGTATTTAATTCAGATACAAATATGCATTTAGGCCTATGTGTGAATGCAGGTGTATATTTTTGCAGAGTTATATGCACACAATCCCACAGTTATACCTATACACTGTCAAATCCACCACATGCACACAGTTGCAGGCAGATAGTCACATACACAGTATCAGGCAGAAACACACACAGGTACAGGCAGTAACATACATACACAGTTACAGACAGACAGCCACAAACACACAGTCACACATACAGTCTTACACACACGTGATCTGATAGATTCCATTCTGCCCATAATTTTATTTTTTACATAAATCTGCAAAGGATTTTTACTCTTGTAACACCTTGTTTGTTGAGGTATACCACCGTCGTACTGTTGTCTTACTGTATCTGGACAGCTTTGTATAGAATCTCTGGTTTGAAAACCGCAAAGAATTCTTTGCAATTTGATGAGTTTCTTATTTTATATTCCACTTTCCCTTTTTCACAAGTGAACCCATGCATGCTGTTAGCAGATCCAGCGTACTTATTGCTGTCCTTATCGAGCAAACTCTAGTTCCTCGATGATCTAAAATAGCCTTTCTTATCTTTTTTTTTTCTTTTGGCAGTGGGAGAAACATTTTCATTTTTATAGAGTCTATCTCCATTCCTAACATTGTGCATCTGGTGGCAGGGGAAAGACCTGACTTTTGCCAATTTATAATTGTGTGACCGAAAAATAGTTTCCATACAAAACTTCTGGTGCGTGATACATTTGGCTGCTTTTTTTAAACCAAGAACTGGGCCAAAGAAACAGTTTGGTTTTTCTACCGGGAATAACCTAGAGTAGACACCTCAGAAATCTTCTTTCTGACTGGCACCTTTTCTAAAACTGCTTTTTATTCTTCTTGTCTCGTGTTACTTCGATATCCAAGGTTTTGCAGACTTGATAAATGTGTTGATCTTGCATGTTGGAAACTCTGCTTACTCGTCGGAGTCCTTACTTACTGATTTAGGCGTATCTGAAGTCATTGAACTCTTGCACAGATATAAATCAATGGAAGATGGAGACCTATGTCTCTTTTTCTCTCTAACTCCAGCAGAAGTCTATTGTGAAACTGCCTCCTTATATTCAGCAAATATTTGCTCTAGATTATCTTGAAACCACACTTGGAAAGATGACATTTCATTTGCCTAGATTTTTCAAGAGACTCCTTTGAGCATTGGTTACAATTTTTGCATTCATCAGAGAGCAGTATTGCACACTGAATGTTTTTGTTTTTTTGTGTGGCATTTTTGGGTTTAGGTGGAACTGTCAACTTTTTTTGTTTGTTTGTTTTCCTGGGAGTACAGGGACATCTGATAAAAAAAATTAAATAAAGAAAATAAATAACTAAATTAATAAATCTTGCCAGAGTATCTTTTAAAGTATAGGAATCTGCCTCTGTACAGCTACTCATGATGTCCCATCTGAAGTGCATTATCTGGATGCTTGTTCATCCGCTTGTTGCCCAAGTAATAGCTGAGGCGCTCTGTTACTGCAAGGTATTTAAGGCATTGGGGAGGGAAATTTACATTTTCAGGTTACCTGTCGTTATGAAGAAAGAACATCCCCCTATGGTACTGCTGGTATACATTTGGAAAAATTGTCAGTAATATAAATGGTCATTCTAAGCAACATAACTGTTACTGCTCATTGTAGTGGTTATAGTGCGAAGGTTCTGTGGGTGTAATTTCCATGTCTTCCTGACAGTTTTGCAATTGTTTAACAAAAGGAAACCACGCTCCACGTGTCTACAGTCCAGTCCCTCACATACCACTCAGCTTCTGCTGAAATTAGCTTCCAAACTAGGCCATACAAGTGTGAGAAGCAACGTTAGGTCCAGTGATGTATTTAGTAACTGTGCTGCCCTAGGTATGACGGAACTCGGGCACCCCCTAATTTACATTTGCCCCACTCCTTCCTTTCAATGCCACACCTCTTCCTGTTAAACGACTAACACACACTTTGACTGACAGACACACTCTCAGATACACTGACATACACACACTAATTTGACACAATCACTGACTCACTGACATACGCACACAACACAGACACACACACAATCAAACACATACTAACTGACAGACACACACACTCTCACTCACTGACAGACAGCCACACAGTGACAGCCACACTGACAGATTTACACACTGAAAAGACATACACACACACAATCACTCATATACACACAAACACTCATACATACACATACAATCAGACACACACAATCACTCAGACATACACACACTGACAGCCACCCTCCCCTCCACTCCTCAAACATTAACCAATTACTTTTTCTGATTTAGTTTAAATCCACCCAGCCTCCCTACCTTGATTAGTGCTGGGTAGATTTTTGTTTACCTGGGGTCCAATGGGGCTTCTGACAGGAAGGGAGGCAGGCATGCAGGCAGTTGTGCGGCTAACTAAAAATCCAGACGGGCGGCACTGGCGAGGGAGCACTGATTAGTGAGCTGTCTTTGCTCAGCTCCCTCGCCAGTGGGCATTTGGGGGCAGCGGTTTTTGCCACCCCCTGGAAAGTGCCGCCCAAGGCAAATGTCTTGTTTGCCTCGCGGCAAATATGTCCCTGGTTAGACCAAAAAAGCTTGGACAAACTTGAGCATGAATATACGCACCTTATAGATGTATGCTTCTCTATATGCGGTTTGGAACTACTGGAATTTGTATTTCACTCTACATGATTTATTATGCAACGCTCCTAATTTCTCTTTGAAACAATTGATCTCCTTTCCTGTTCTCATTTTAGTTTTCAATTCGTAGCCTCAATCTCTGACACAAAAAAAGGCCCTAACAGTCGTATTGAAATTGAGTGTAAGGAAGCGTTTGTTTGTGTGCGCGCGCGCGTGTGCGTGCGTGCGGTTTTTTTTTTGGTTTTTTTTGTGGCCTTTTATTATGGCCAGCCTAAAGCACACCTTTGCACTTACCATGCTGTCTAATCAGCATCTTGATATGCTAAACCTGTGAGGTGGATGAATTATCTCGGCAAAGGAGACAGATTGACAGATTTGTGAACAATATTTGAGAGAAATAGGCCTTTTGTGTACATAGAAAAAGTCTTAGATCTTTGAGTTCAGCTCATGAAAAATGGGGGCAAAAACAAAAGTGTTGCATTTATAATTTTGTTCAGTGTACTTGCACAGGCTTTCATTTTTTTTTCCTCTTGAACAATTGTTGTCATTAGCAGATGCTATGTGAAAGTAGCAATGCAGGAACCCCTATGAGAAATGAGTGAGTGGAGACCACACAAGTTAGGGTGTCCCTACCCTATCAAAATCTTCAAAATTTGTTGGCTTTATAGAAATGAACAGAATAGTAATTTGCTTGACTTTATTTGGCTATTGACCTTAATGGTTGCCTAGTCAACATTCATTGTGGCACACGAACAAAACGATCATGTTTGTTTAGAGCTTGTCATATGGTGCACTAATGAAATTGAAAGGGTCTTGGAAGGCGCACATTTATCCATTCTTCAAAATAATCTGAATTGTTTGTTTGTTACAGCCATCTGATCCACGAACCTGCAACAAGATAAATGCAGATACGACAATATCTGTTAATAGGTGTCTAAAGCCAGGGTTTAATTTTCTACAGTTCCATGTGGAATACACTGACTGCATTATCTCTGTCTGCTGTGTTTCATGATGTAGTTAATGGCAAGGGCAAGATTGTCCCCATTGTTTAATAAATCTTACAGGAAGCAAAGTCAAATGTGCTGATTATTCTGTAAAGACGGAAATGTCTTCCAAAATATTTATACTGTAAGACTTCTCCATTTGCATCATGTAAGATTGACAGCAAAATATTTCCTGATATCTGTCACCAAAGGCAGCACTTTGTATATTTTATTTTATACAAGTGTCAGTCATCTTAATGCTTTCATTGTACAATAACTTAGCTAACCCATGCAGTGGAGGTCTGGATTTTCTTGGCTGTAAGGAAAAGGATTTAGAGGTGCCCCCCACCCATTGCAAACCACAACAACAAAATATATACTGAGCATTCAGACATTTATAAAAATGTATTAATCAAATATAAACTTGATAAGGACGCACTTAATGGGTTTCTCCAACCATCATGACCAGTTCAGTGATTTTGAAGTGGTCATGGTGGTTGGAGGATGTATGTGCAGTGTTTCTGCTTAAAACACTGCACCGATGGAGTTATTTTTAATACATTAGTTGCACCACCAGCACGTGACTTAAGGGGAAGATCACTATCCACTCCCTCCATTGCAGACATAGATTAAAAAAACCACAACAACAAAAATTTCTCCGCAACGCCAGCTAAGAAGATACCATAGCAACCACAGCACATGAGTTTCTGCCAAGGAGTTGAGAGACAGATGGAAGAAAACCCCTATATTTCAAAAGGTTTCACTTCAAATCTGTACATTGCTTGGAAAACTGCTGGCACAATGTATAGATAGAATTTCAAGCTCTTTTAAAAGCGCATAGGTAATAATGGCATGATAGTTTGACTTTGACAGCCTCCACTTTAATAATGAGAAAGTAGAGAAACGCTGTACAGATCAATGTACTCAGCACCAGATAAGTGCATAAAATAAAGGAACAGATGGGCGTGTGAGGATACGGAAAAATCTTACACAGAAGAGTACCTATCATTCTCATGAAGTCATTTCCCCAATGTACAACAGACCATATTGCTTTCACACTATGTGAAAATGTTCCATCAGGCATTCTCGGAATACAAATATTAAATAAAACACTAATGAATATAGTTAAAGGGACACTATAAACACCCAGATCACAATCTTAATGAAGTGATCTGGGTGCAAAGATCCTGTCCTTGTAACCATGCAATGTAAAACCTGGCAGTCTTTTTGTTTTTTAATCTGCAATGTTTACATTGCGGGGTTACAGGACCACTAAAGCTATTTTACAAAAAGTGCAGATTTCAATACAAATTGAAGCTTTTATTTAAAAAGGGTGTTATTCCCCCCCCCACCCGATAATCGATCAGTTACTTCCTAGTTGCTAATCTCAGTTGAGCTAAATCAAGAGGCAGACAATTGCTCAGAGCACCTGCCTTGCAAAGATTTCTCATTGAGTCACATTGGGAAGTCTGTGATTGGACACCCATAGAAAGTGCAAAAATCCCCATAGGAAAGCATTGTTTTAATGCTTTCCTATGGGAAAGCTTGAATGTGTGTGTGTGGCCTATTGCGGTCCATTCAATAGGACCATTGCAGAGGAGGCCATGTTTCCTCCGTGACATTGTGAGAGGAGGGGAGGTCAGCAGCACCAAGTAAGCCTCAGTGCTGGAAAAAGTTAAGTAAAAGGGGGGAAGGAATATCACATTTTTATTGTGAATGGGGGGGGATGCACCTATACAGCTATAGGGACAGGGACACTATAGCATTAGGAATACAGGTTTCTATTTCTAAAGCCATGGTGTTCCTTTAAGGAAGATAAAATTGGTGATCCCTTATTTGTTTAAAAATGTGTTCCCTACCTATTCCATTTTATTAGAATTTTTCAGTGGAAGGAACCACAGGGCAAAATGCTCATATTATTGCTTGTATCAACAAATAAGACAATATCCCCATGTTGTTTTATAATTCATGAATATGGTTGTCTTGTAGTTAATTATTTAATGTTCTGGTCTTGAGCTCACTGACAGTGCTGCAAGATTATGTAAAATAATAACGCTGGGAATTACACACAAAAACAAACATTATATTCATCATATTCAGGGTTCAAGTCCTGAGAAAAAAGTGTGGGAACTCACCCAAGATCAACCTCCCTGTCCCCCCCCCCCCAAAAAAAACTAAAATTATACACTTGTATGCATAAACGCGTGCACACACACACTGACAGGTGCACAGATACACATACACACTCACAGAAAAACACAAATTATTCATATTTTTAACATTTACAAATATCCACCCAGCCTCCCTACCTGGAGAGCTGGTGTGGACCTGTCCCTTGGGTCCAGTGGGGCTTCAGTGAGGCGGGCGGCTGTCTACCTGTCGGATGCAGCGAGGGAGCTGTGTTTTCTCTGATCTGCTCCCTCGCGGGCTCTCTACTGATGCCGGGGGCCGGAATATGATGTCATATTCCGGCTCCCGGCATCACCAAATGGCGTGCGAGGGAGCTGATCAGAGAGAACACAGCTCCCTCGTTGGTTCTGACAGTTAGACAGCCGCACTCCGGGGGTCCATCAGGTGGCCTGCAGGACACCTTTTTGCAGCCCCAACCCCATTACTGGTATTTATATATCGCCAGCATATTCCGTAGCCAGCATAATATTATTAGAGGGGGAGATTTAACAATAAATGAGACAATTACAAAAACTTACAGGGACAATAGGTTGAAGAGGGCGCTGCTCAAACAAGCTTACCGTCTATAATTCCTCACAATTCCAAATCTACAAGGTTATTCACAAATTGAGAATTCAGAAAGAATTTAAAATTTAAGGTTAAAAAAAGCCAAACTAGAATTATTCTCTAAGCCAGCTATGCTTTCCATTAATCTATTCTGGCATTAGGTTTGAAATTCACATTGTATTCTCACTTTAGTGAAACACCCTGATAGTGAGTAAAAATGTGTTTGTTTTTTTCCCTCAATAAGCTCTATTTGACAGAATATCTACATGAACATATTTGAGGTAGCCCTCACATACACTAAAGGTAACATTTTACTATGTTTAGGGGAGCAAAGGGGACCAGGAAGGCTAGATGCCGTTTTTAACACTTAAGAGTCAGGAATACATGTTTGTGTTTCTGACTCTATAGTGTTCCTTTAAACTGCAGTGAGTGTGTAACCAGTGTCAGATTCCAGTGTGTTTATAGCAGGGCCGGACTGACCCGCCGGGATACTGGGAAATTTCCTGTTGGCCCGCAGCACCTGGGGCCGGCAGGAAGCCCCAATGTGCTATTTAAATAATTTCCCCTCAGACTGTAACAGCCTGTGTCAGTCCGAGGTCTTTCAGTATAGGTTCCTCCATGTAAGGACATAATCCTTGTGTAGATACACAAGGATTTAGTTATGTTAATAAAAACTAAAAAGTTAAAAAAATCCTATATATAACAATATAAATGTTAAATATGTAAAAGATAACATACACTGTTTATTGATATTAAACGCTTACAAGCTATGAGTACCTGAGGTAGGTATATATATATATATATATATATATATATATATATATATATATATATATATATATATATATCTCTATCTCTATCTCTCATTAGATGTTTTGCCACTTACTGATGAGATGGACTGACTGGGAGTTTCCCAGTTGTAAGGCAGAGATGTTATCATGGCTCCTGACAGATTAAGTTTTAGGAGCTGAAGGTAACTTATAACAATGGCTGACAGGGAGCCAAGATAGAATCCCTCAGTTCTGGGATAGAAGTAAATACAGTGGGGTATGGATTTGTACATTTAATTTTATTAGGTAAATATTGGGGATGAGTAAACATATTATTAAATATCATTGGAAGTGATGATTCCCCTTTAAGAATGAAAAAAAGAATCATGTTCCTCAACATTTCACACCTCCTTGCTGCTGATGACTGTAGTTATGGGTGTATTGTAATGCGAACAACTAAGCAGGATATGTTGTTGATTTACTCTGCAAGACTGTCAGTGGATATTCGTGAAAAGCACTGGTATGCATTGCTTCAAAATGCAAATATTAGTCAAATGCTGTCTGAACATGAGACATGTTACCTTGTCATTGGGCTATTGATCACTGGATATCGGGGAACTTGAATCCATGGGTGAACATATTCAGTTTTAACTTCGGGATCTTCTGACACCCACCAACCATAACGCTGAGTTGCAGTAAGAGGCAATCGCTGAGTCTGCTTGGGTGCTGGAAAACCAGTGATAAAAAAAACTTTTTAACATGGTTTGTTCACTTCTATGAATTAGTGTTTGCTTATTTACACTATTACTTGAGTTGATATTTTTCCCAATGTTCAACCATTCATCACACATTCTCAAATCTTTTTACCTGTCAATCAGATAGCTAGTTAAATGGATTCTATAGTGTTAGGAATACAAAGTAGTTTTCTCTACCCCCCAGAGCATAAGATGTCCAGTGTCAGGTGACCAAAAGTCGCCTAGCAAGCAGGAAGCCCTCTAGAGGCTGTCTTAGTGCTGCAATATTTTACATTGCAGGACTACGTGTGACATGGACACTGCATCCAAACCACATTAATGAGAAGAAGTGATCTGAGTGCCTCTAGTGTCCCTTTAAAGTTTGGGTTCAAGGATATAAGCTTTAAACCCACATCACCTAGTTCCTAACTTTGGGTATTTGAAATGAATAAAATATATATTTAAAAACATGGGCAAACATTGAGTTGAAGAGTTAGATGGAGAATATGCACATAACAACAAGTGCATGAAGTCCAATGATTTCCAGCAGGGCTGTCTTTAATACTGATTGGACCCTGGGCAGACATTTGCTTGGGCCCCTGGACCTAGCCCTCCCACTTTCAAGCATTAAATCACGTCCTCCAACCCAACACAAAAAAGAAAACACACACAAAAAAAAAAAGACCACACACACACACACACTTAGCTGCACTCATTTTTCACTGAGACAAAATATACACGCAAACAGTGACATTCACAGGTACAGACATACAAAGACAGATACACACTGACACACATCCAGATGCACAGAGACACTCACTGACAAACATGCAGATAAACAGACACACTAACACATATATAGATAAAACAGAGAAACACACTGACATACATGCAGATAGACACAATAACTTACAGATACATACACTGACCCAAATGTAGATACTCAGACAGGCATACGGATATACACAGACACAGATACACAGAAACATACTTATACACACACACACACACACACATAGCTACACAGACACACATACAAGCAAATTTTACATTATTTAGTCACCCTCGTGTTTCCTACCTTTTGGGTACAGGAGGGTGACTTCCCTGGCATCCAGTGGCTGGCTCTGGTTAATGGGAGTCAGAGCTCCCACTCTGACTCCCTCCTCTCCTTCCCCTCCCACGCGGTCCTTGGTAAATCCTGGGATGAAGTGACTGGCTGTCACTTCCTCCCAGTGTTCTGACATCATCACAGGGGGCCTGGCTGCGCTCTTAAAGCGCCGCAGTGCTGACCGGGCCCCTGAAAACACACATAGCCCCCTCATCGTACGGCCCGTTGTGGTAGCTCCACGCTGGCCACATGCACCACGGCGGGCTGAAGGGGCAGCTGCTTCGGGTCCCCTATGAATGACTTTTGCCCCACATTAAAGACAGCCCTGATTTCCAATGTGAAAGCAGTAAACGTATGAGGAAAAGAAGGCGCAAACAAGTACAGTTGCCATGCAACTGAAATCAAAAGGGCAAAATGTAACTACTCTGTGATCATAGCTCAGTAGGAGAAACTTTTCAGCATTGTTTTGCCTGAATTGTGCTACTTTATTGCTAGACAGATATTCTCCAAGTGAGAGTCCAAAACACTTTATATCATTGATGTGGTTATGGTGCCTGGGGTCCTGTGTGCCGTCTACTATTTTTAAAGCATGTTCCAATAGGCTTAACCATGAATTAGAGCCCCTAACAGTCCACAGCCTGGCTCCCTATGCTGTAATGACTAAGGTGAAGTTACTCTCCACCTGAAAGGGACACTATCACTTCATCTAATCGAAGTGATCTTGGTGCAGTGCCCCTGTCCCCACTTAGCCCTCCAATGTAAAACATAGCAGTTTCAGAGAAACTCTAAGACTGTCGCTAAGCCAAAGGATAACTACACTGGAATCAGGTAAGTGGGAGAAAAAAAAAAGCATTGTAGCCCTTTATTTATCTGATGTTGGGCACTAGGGAGGTGGGGAGGGGGACACTGTAGTGTAAGAATACAGTAGTTGGTAGTGAAGCGTAAGTGTGATCAGCTGATGCTCTCAGTCTCTCACCGCCCACTATCCCTGGTATAAATCTTGGCATAGGGTAAAATGTAACTCCACCTTAGCCACACTGTCTTAGGGGGCAGGGAAATGAGCTACCAGGAACCCTAATTCATGGTCAATAGATTAAAAAACTGTTTATTAATAAAACAGAGACAAGGACCAGGGATTCTACACAACATAACCACTGCAATAACATGAAGTGGTAGATGCCTACACTGTCGCTTTACCAAAAATGATGCTACACATCCTACTAGCCACCAAATTAGCCATTGGCAACAAACCTATCAACTCATGTCCAACCACATGACTAACACACTTGATGTTAATAAAGAAATGAAGGATTTGTAAAGGCAACCGTAAATCAATGAAGGAAACTGTTGCCAACCCAACAAAGAATGTTCAGTCCCTACAATAGATGACCTGGGAACTTGTGATACTAATATCTAGAGTCTGGATCCATTAGGGTTTCATATTTTTACATATTTACTCCTCTTCTCTCATTTTTCACTTTCTTTATATTCCTTCTCACATGTAACTCGAGGTCAGATATTAAATAATAAATGTGATATCCGTTATGCACAAATAATATATACTATACCTATAGTAAAAGGATGAGTAACTAAGTTGTATATGTATGATTTCCCATGTTTACACTGTTCTACTTTTCTGTATTGTAAAATATTTCAAAAAAAAAAAATGTACATGGGAAAAACAGGAGAAGAAAATGAAGCATTACTAAGCTTCCAAATGTGCTGATTGGGATGGTCCCCTTCTCTCTCCATGTGGCCAAACAGAGCTGTGATATATCATATGTAGGCTCTGTGCATTATTAATTTAAACTCAGAACCACCACAAAGCAGTGACTTCAATGTCTATGCCATCAGAGCCACAGGTCACATGCGAACCAAATGTGTCTACACGTTACATCATCAAATAACTCTGTGGTCCATCATAATGACTTAGTAGGCATTATAGAAAAGTAATTTCAGAGTTAGCCACCTATTGGTCCTCCAGCAGCGCTCTCATGATGTAAGGCCTTGATACTCACTCCTCAGGGCTTGATGACGTCTCACAATTTCCTTATACTTCATTTGACTTGAATAGGTAGAGGGAGGGACTATTGCAGGGAGCACTCTCTGTGCATTTTCACCTTTTCCTATGACAGAAAAAGCACATGATCCCAAAAATCTTCGATAAAGTACAATCGAGACAATGTATTATATTGTACCATATATCATATGAATTCATCTTAAAAGATATCAAAATAACTAATCTGATCTTCATGTCAATGAAGTGTTTATAGTGCATTTTTAATTTTTTTTAAACGACACTGTAGATTTTTCACACAATCCTTTTTTTAATGATGTATATTGGTTTTAAATATTAACCCTCTCCCTTACATCTCTCTGACATGCCATCTTGATTGAGTGTGGGTCAGATCTGTGTGTGCCTGTCTGCATCTCTTTGTGGCTGCAGTATCTGTATGGGTTAGTGAGGTGTTCATGTAATATGGAATGTGATATGTAATATTTCAGATCTGAAAGAGAAAAATAATTGCATTTCTGGATCTAAATGTAAAAGCTGTCTGCTGTGCCATGAAATGCCAATGACTGTTTTCTCTCCCAGTTTGGGCCTGATTGGAGTTGTTGCTTTTGTTCTATATATTTGGGCTGAATAGCTATAGCCATTGCTGCTGCACAAGATTGGTGGAATCTGGGCCCTTAGATGATTTCTGTGTTATTTATTTGCTTTTTACTACACAGCCATGTTACGTTGCAGCTACCAGCCCCAAACGTGCCCTATTAAGGGTTAAAGGGTTACTCCAAGTACCATCGCTTCAGTGATTTGAGGTGGTCATGGTGCTTGGAGTCTGTTTTAACAGCATTCAATATGAAGTACTGCAAATACAGAGTTTAATCCCTTTTCTAAAGGAGGAGAAACAAAAGTTCTGGGCTGGCTAATGTCGATTCTGTGCATTTTTCATTCACAGAGTCATACATTGGCTGAACGAGCTAAGCCGATTCTCTCAGCCAATAAATGACCAGTGGGTTAGACATTCTGCAGAATCTGGATTTTTATTAACAGCCACTGAAGGACCCTCTGCACCTGACTGGGATCCAGGCAGGAGGACAAACTGTTGCAGGTGAATGGGGCGAAAATACTCCTAGCATCATAACTACTACAGCCGGCTGTGATGTTTGTAGTAACCCTTTAATTAGTCTGTAGGTGTGTGACGGACCGCCGTCACTAAGTACCATGCCCATTGCTTACTTGTGTGTTTTCCCCTTGTATTCTGTGTTTCCCCATGTGTCTGTTATATATTTTGTGTATTTTGTCTGTTCCCCGTTCGGGAGAGCTCATAAGAATGGAACTTGTTAGTCTCCCGAACGTGGACCACCCGGAGTTCCCATTTAGAATGTTCTGAAACCGCAAGGGAAATCATAAAGGAATGCTCTCCTGGCTTGCCGCCGGTTCATATAGCCGAACGCCAACCAGCAGAGGCGCCCGCATTGTTTCAGATCCCTGTGTCACTTCTTCCCCTACCCGGGAGCTGCCAGGCCAGACTCGTAGCTGCCCAAAGGCGCTCTCCCCTGGGCTGCCTATGTGGAGGTAGCCCCGGAAAGAGGCGCGAGCCCCAATGGAATCCCTGGAGCTGTGAGTTTGCTTCACAGCCGCAGGGGTCCCACTGGCCACCTGGACGTCAGTGTCGACCAATAGGAGAATGAGCGCTTATTCAAACTGGGTCATTGCGCCATTCTCCTGATGGGTTTGCACGAGGGAGTGCTGATTGGTCGCTGCGGAGCGCCCTTTTAAACGGGGTTTCGAAACCTCTCTCCTCCCCGAGCGCCGATTGGTGCACAGGGGTTTTGCGCCCTTTCTCTTGATTGGGCGGCAAAAACCCTCTCCTTCCTGAGCGCTGACTAGCGCGAATTGGTTTCGCGCCTTTCAGCTGATTGGTTTTTGCTTGGTTTACGTGGGGGAGGACAGCTTAAACCCTGGGCCAACTTGTGGAAGATGCAGCCGGGAAAGTTCTTGTAAGACTGAGAGCTAGTTCCCCTGCTCCAGCTAGGAAGCAGTTCCTTTGGCGGAGGTATCCAGCCGGGTAAGAATAGTCCTTTCTGTAGCAATGAGGTGAATTGCTAGTGTAGTACTTACCTAAAATGTTTGCCGTGATGCGGAGGGTGACATTACAATTTAATGTTAATTAAATGTGCATAGAGATTTGAAATAGTGGACAAGTAACTTTTTTAAATTTAAATCTTTTTAACGAATTATGTTCCAAGAAATACAAGCTAATACGTGTCTGCTCAAAGCAGTATTGTCGCCTATTTATTTTTACAATAAAAAAAAAAAATGTGTGTTCCATATTTCCCTTCAAATTTTTAAAATTTATTTTTTATTAATTGCCTTAGCTTTTTTAAAAAAAATTTTTTATGTTAACTAAGGACTACTTGTTAGAGCATGATTTTTGGCAATGGGCAATGCTTAACGGTATAACACTACCGATCCCACTATAACGGTATAACACTACCAATCCCACTATATAATGGTACAACACTACCAATCCCACTATATAAGGGTATAACACTACCGTCCTTACTATATACCGATATAATACCACCGGTCTCACTATATAACAGCACTACCGACCTCACTATAAAAAGGTATAACACTACCAATCTCACTATATAACGAAATAACACTACCGATCTAACTATATAATGGTATAACACTACCAATCTCACTACACCGATATAACACTACAGATCTCACTATATAATGGTATAACACTACCGATCTCACTATATAATGGTATAATAATACCGATCTCACTATAATGGTATAATAATACCGATCTCACTATAATGGTATAATACTACCGATCTCACTATATAATGGTATAATACTACCGATCTCACTATATAATGGTATAATACTACCGATCTCACTATATAATGGTATAATAATACCGATCTCACTATATAATGGTATAACACTACCGATCTCACTATAATGGTATAATACTACCGATCTCACTATAATGGTATAATACTACCGATCTCACTATAATGGTATAATACTACCGATCTCACTATATAATGGTATAATAATACCGATCTCACTATATAATGGTATAATAATACCGATCTCACTATATAATGGTATAATAATACCGATCTCACTATATAATGGTATAATAATACCGATCTCACTATATAATGGTATAATACTACCGATCTCACTATATAATGGTATAATAATACCGATCTCACTATATAATGGTATAATAATACCGATCTCACTATATAATGGTATAATAATACCGATCTCACTATATAATGGTATAATAATACCGATCTCACTATATAATGGTATAATAATACCGATCTCACTATAATGGTATAACACTACCGATCTCACTATAATGGTATAATAATACCGATCTCACTATATAATGGTATAATAATACCGATCTCACTATAATGGTATAATAATACCGATCTCACTATAATGGTATAACACTACCGATCTCACTATATAATGGTATAATAATACCGATCTCACTATAATGGTATAATAATACCGAGCCGCCCGAAATGGATCCTGGTAGCCCAGGCCCGTGAGCCCGAAAAACGCCATCTGTGAACCCGCACCGACAGCGTAAGGCGGTTACCATGGCGAGCAGGGAGGTAAACATTGCCGTGGAGGATGGTTGCCGTGGAGACCGCGTGTGGGCGGGGTTTATATGACGGCGCTACGGAGGCAGACCGGAAGCTGCTGACGAGGTCACGTGGTAAATGTGCCGCAGGGATTGGCTGATCTGATATTTCCCTAAAATAGTGCTGTGTGCCTCCTCAGTACAGCCCTGCTGGGAGGTGGGAGGCAGACTGTACTCGGGGTTTATCATTGGTTTTTAAACAATTCATGTTTCCCAGCACCAGCTGTAAATCCCTCTGTCCTATTCTAGGAGCTCCAACATGTGTACAGGGCTCCACAGCAACAATGTGTTTACATTACTATACATGTGTTTGGAATCAGTCTGTGTAAATGGGATTGTTCTAAATTACACTTTATTATTATTATTATTAATGTTACCAGCTAGCTCACCACTCTGCGATCCTGGCAGCTCAGGCCAGCGAGCCCAAAATAACAGGAACATATTCACCAGCACTTTACCATTATAAAAAGGGATGTTTGACAAGTAATTTACATACAGATAGAAGAGGTGAAGGTGGCCCTAGCCAGCCAAGCTTACAATCTATGAAGGTTTTGTTTCACTTTTGTCCATGAAAAGGCTGGATGTTATGGAACGTGATCTCTACTGTAGGGTATATTTTGATATATTAAGTGCACACTTCCCAACATTGGGATTGCAACTTCTGCTACTGGTGATGCCCATAACAGGTGAAAAGGGAGGAATGGGATCTCCCACTGAAGGGGCTTGAGAGCCGGAGCCCCTAAAATACAGGACCATGTATAGAACGCTAATAAAGCACTAACCGTATGGTCCTAGTGCCTATTCGCAGTATAAGTGCATTGAATGATAAACTCGCTCTGTGCTGCCAGAGGACAGTTCCTCTTTTGGGAGGCCTCTATGTGTAAGTTCACATAGAAACAATATGAGAAATGCAGCAATTTGCTTAATGTATATTTACTAAACTTTGAATTGTGCTAAATTGAAATCCGAATGGCAAAATTAAGGCTAAAATTGACCAAGGCATTTGTGGTCAATAAAGCTAAAAACTTGCTCAGTTCCAGCACCGAGTTCCAGCACTGAGGCCAAGTATTCCCCTCAGCACGATCTTCCTCCACTGACGCCACTGCCTCTTACTGAGGAGGAGGAATGTTAAAGGACCACTATAGTGCCAGGAAAACACTCGTTTTCCTGGCACTATAGTGCCTTGAGGGTGCCCCCACCCTCAGGGCACCCCTCCCGCCGGGCTATAGGGTGAGGAAGGGGTTAGAATTACCTCTTTCTCCAGCGTCGAGCGGGGGACTCTCCTCCTCGGCTGAATGCGCATGCGCGCGCATTCAGCCAGTCCATAGGAAAGCATTCACAATGCTTTCCTATGGACGCTGGCGTCTTCTCACTGTGAAAATCACAGTGAGAAGCGCAGAAGCGCGGAAGCGCCTCTAACGGCTGTCAATGACATAGCCACTAGAGGCTGGATTAACCCTATTATAAACATAGCAGTTTCTCTGAAACTGCTAGGTTTATAGAAAAAAAGGGTTAAACCTAGCTGGACCTGGCACCCAGACCACTTCATTAAGCTGAAGTGGTCTGGGTGCTTATAGTGGTCCTTTAAGGAGAGTGAATTGAGGGTAGAATATGGCGGTGTGTGCCATTGGACACGTTGTCCGTATGCTGTGTGTGCTAATGTCAGACATCCAATATGCACAGAATTAACATTAGCCACCAGTAGCTCTTCTTCTAGGCTGCCTGGCGCTACTGTAGGTGGAGCTACATATAGAAAAACAGACTCCAAGCACCATTACTAGTTCAAATCACTGAAGCAACCCTTTAGTAAAAAAACCCTGTAAAGATGGTCTGGGCCGCGATGGCCTTTGGTACTCCACCTTTGATATTCGGTTAATTTCATCTCATGTGATATTCAGGCCAAAATACAAAGTTACTGCAGTACTTAAAAAAAACAGTCACAGAAATGGTTAAATGCTGAGTTGCCGTTTCAGATCCAGTGACCCTTTCTCATTGTTACAATGCATGTAAAGAGTCACTGGACCCGAAATGTGTCTGTTTTATGTACCTCAATAAATCATCGATGTAGCACTGGGGTGCACGGTGAAGGTTGTAGCGCTTTTCCCTTTCTGTCATGTGATATTCATTTAGATCACCTGACTTCCTCCAGAGTAAAATGGCTGTGGGATAGAAAGGAGTTCATATGGTCTAGTTGGCATTTCCACTACATTTTTGTAGCTGTGATCTCAAAGATCATCCATTCCAGTAATTCTACAATGTGCTAATCAAATAAAACACATATATGAGAACTATTCTATTGCATATTTTCCTTTCCATAATTTGAGGTGCTGGTACCTAGTGAGAATCAAAGCACTGGTTTTATAATCAGTAAAATCAATTCTACAGCAGATATCATGACAGAGAATAACAAAATGATGGTGCTCAGATATTGAGATCTGAAAAGGTGGTAACTATAAATAAAGGTAAGTGGGCAAGAGGAGAGTATAATCGTTAAGATGTGGGGGGCATAAGGAAAGGAAAACCAAACCAAACAAAACATGATGGGGCTGCTTTAATCTCATATGCCATATATCACCCAATGCTTCTATGCTATATAAATGTGTTAAGAAATCAGTCTCTGTTCTAAATTACATGTTAGTTGCATAAATTGTAATAAGCAAGTTGCCTAAAAGATGTCAGAACACCCCTGCCCCTGGCCACACACCGATTCACATTGCTTAAATTAAAATGTCCCGCATTGGCCATTTGAAATGTTGGGAAGTATCTAATGTATGTATTTTTCCATCTGCTCCCTTGTTACCCACCTGTCTGACAGACCTCTCCCCTTAAGATCTCATTACTGTCACAATCAAGACTTGGGCTACATTTAAACAGAAATACACATGGCATTTTCCAGAGAGGCCAGCTGCTCCTTTTTGCTCTATGCTGCGGGCACCAGTGAGCATCCTGTTACTTGCTGGAAAGCAGGAAAGTTAATTATCTGTGTTCACATAATTAATGGATTGATACTACTACCACCTACTGGTAGCTTAGCAATATTACATAAACTACCACTTAAATAGTCCGTGCTTTATATAATTGATATCTTAACCCTGTATCAGCAAGTATGGGTTTGTTTCCAGACTTGTCATTAAAAACTATATTTTTTAGCTTTGTTAATGCAAAGACGTTTGTTAAAACAAACAAATGCAGACAGATTACCTTGGGCCACTCCAGGGAGTAGAGAGAGTCCTAGTGCAAGACATGTTTTTGCCCTCTCTAGCACAAGGGTGTCTAAAAGGTAGCTCCTCAGCTATCATACAGCTCCCATGAGGATTTGCCAGCTGGGTATCTACCTTTGCCCATTCTTGCAGGGTTCAATTTGTAAGAAGTGTTTGAATGTAAGCATTTATGTATAGAGTATGTGTGTAATTGTAGAGGTATTTTTGTGTCCAGTTAATGCTGTTGTGTGTTTGTATATATTGTTGTTATTTGAATGCAGGGTTGTATTTGTGTGAATTGCTGGTGTTTGAATGCTGGGATGTTCAAATATATACACATACAGTGTCACACATACATGCACACTTACTGACACAGTACATACTGCCAAATACACACACACACATAGTTACAGACATACTGACACACACAAATACACAAACACATAGATACACACAGTGACAGCCATACAGATACACACAGGAGGACAATTAAATAGAGATCTGGGTGATCCAGACCTAGGGCTGGCAAACCCCAGTACAACAAGTCAAAAATAAATATGGTCCTGGCACTCCAGATATATTAAGAAGCAGTTTTTGGCTCCAGGGGAGAGCCAGCATTTGCGCGCGCGTCAGGACTAATGTGTGCAGGTTTTCATGCCATTAGGGACACCTGCACTCGGATATGAACATACAATTAAACCCCACATTATCTTTTTCTCTTTTGCTTATAATTTTTGTTTTAGTTAGGTTTTTCATCTGTACTGTAGTTCTCATGGTTCTTCATAGAGATAAACTTTGAACCAGCTATTGGGGGTGGGACGTGGGGGGGGTTAAAACAGGTTTGCACAACCTGCTGTCCTCCTGATGTTTTTGAACCACAGCTCCCATGATTCTTTGAATAAAACAGATAGCCAACGTCCTTGATTCCTTTAATGAAACAGATAGCCAACGTCCATGATTCATTTAATGAAACAGCCAACGTCCATGCTTTTTTTGCATAAAACAGATAGACAGACATCCCGGTGGGCGCCCCCAGCAGGCTGGCACCCTAGGCGAATGCCTAGTTCGCCTAACGGTGGCGCCCGCCCTGCAAACGATCAAATCACACAGAAATTTAGAATAAGGTTTATTCAAGCTGGATTAATATAACATTAAAGTTGTTATCAAACTCTTTCACTATATGATCATGAAGAGTACATAGAAAAGAGAATAATGCACAATCATCAAAAGAACACATGAAGCCTTAGATTCAGGCGGAATTGTAAAGAAGTAAAAGCCAGGGTTTTAAGCATACTGGTGCTAACTACGTAATAACCGGAAAAGGGATTGACGTAAAATGAGCTAGATTCAAGGGATTTGGAGGAGATTCAATTATGGAGGGGCCATGAACAGCTTTTGTAAAGAGGTGCATATATAAATATATACATTTCAATTACATAATAAAGAAATACAAAAATCTAACAATAGAAGCTGGAAGAAACTTCTAGTAACAAATATTACCGAACACTTTCTATTGGGAAGTAGTATCACCTTGTTACAATCTAACATGTCCTAGTTACGCTAGTGCTTGAATTAATATTAATTGCTTTGAGGCTGGGATGAGTAACTCTGTTATTAAGGCTGAGGGCTAACAACCTGTGGTGTCAAAGAAATGTACTGTAAAATATTTATCTAATGGGTAGGCTTCCTGCAGAGAACATTCTATGAGGTTTGCAACAATATATAATGAGGCCAGGTGATCCCATATGGATTAATACTGCTCCCCTAGCTTAACAACACATGGACCTGCTAATTAGGACAGGTAAAAAGGTGTTAATATTCTACACCCTGTTAAACAATGAGTGAACTCTACAGAATCAAACAAATGCTATTTGTCCCTGGGACAATTTACCTTGACTTTCACTAAGTGACTGCTCATTAAAGTAGATTCATAAAAAAAGGTCTTTAGATTGTGTAATCACAGTAATGCACTCTTGTGGGCTTAAAGGGACACTACGCACCATAACCACTACAGCTAATAGAAGTAATTATATTGAATATAAATCGAAAGCAAGGTGTAGGCACGCAAAGAGTCATAGAATCATAATCACTTCAATGAGCTGTAGTACTTAGAATACCCTGTAAAGAACATTTTGGTTTATTGAATACAGTCAAATTATTCTCTGATACTAGGCATACAATTAAGCCACACAAATAGTTTGTCTCCTATTTAAAAGGAACACTGTTTATCCACATTATACCTTTTAAAGGAGCACTATAGGGTCAGGAACACAAACATGTATTCCTGACCCTATAGGGTTAAAACGACCATCTAGCCACCCTGGTCCCCTCATGCCTCCATAAATATAGCAAAATCTTACTGTATTCAAGTCTGGAGCTGCTTACTTTGTCCCTGTTTCCTTTAGACCTGGCCACTGCCTGCTGACATCATCAGAAGTGGTAGCCTGACCCAATCTCAATGCTTCCACATAGCATTGGCTGAGACTGATAAAGAGGCAGATCAGGGGCAGAGCCAGCACAATTCAAACACAGCCCTGGCCAATCAGCATCTCCTCATAGAGATTAATTGAATCAATGAATCTCTGTGAGGAGAGTTCAGTGTCTGCATGCAGAGGGAGGAGACACTAAATGTTTGGATGCATTTTAGGCAGCCATGACCCAGGAAGGATCTCTAACAGCTCTGTGAGGAGTGGCCAGTGAAGTTATCACTAGGCTGTAATGTAAACACTGCATTTTATCTGAATCAAGCAGTGTTTACGGCAAAAAGCCTGAAGGCACTGGTGTACATACCATGGTCGCAGGGGTCACAGTCGCGACCGGGCCCGGCCCACCAGGGGGCCCGGCCACTACGACCCGGGTATGTACGCCAGTGCGGCCACATTTTGCCAGCCTCTTCTCCTGGGGGGCCCAGGAGCTGGCCACCACAGGGCCCCCCGAGGCTGGCAGTGGTGTTACTTGGCGGACGCACGAGGGAGCATTCTCCCCTGAGCTCTCTCTGCCCAGCTCCCTTGCACGCACCGCAGTGATGCCGAAGCCGGAATATGATGTCCGCAAGGGAGCTGAACAGGAGAATCAGTGCTCCCTCGCCGCCTGCAGGACCGGCCACCCAGCAGCCCCACTGGACCCCAGGGAATTCTGGAATCCCCTCAGCACTCCTAAAGGTAGGGAGGCTGGGGGATTAAATGTAAAAAAAAAAATGTATGTGTGTTAGTGTGTGTGTGTGTGTGTCAGTGAGTATGTTTGTTATTGAGTGTGTGTCTGCTAGTGAGTGTCAGTGAGTGTGTGTGTTACTGTGTGTGTGTCTGTTACTGAGTGTGTGTTAGTTTGTGTGTGTCTGTTAGTGTGTGTCTGTTATTGCGTGTGTATCTGCTAGTGAGTGTCAGTGAGTGTGTTAGTTTTTGTGTGTCAGTGAGCATGTGTATGCGTGTTACTGTGTGTGTGTCTGTTATTGAGTGTGTGTCTGCTAGTTAGTGTCAGTGAGTGTGTGTGTTACTGTGTGTGTGTGTCTGTTACTGGGTGTGTTAGTTGTGTGTTAGTTTGTGTGTGTCTGTTATTGAGTATGTCTGCTAGTGAGTGTGTTAGTTTTTTGAGTGTGTCAGTGTCAGTGAGTGTGTGCGCGCATTCAAACCGCCCATAGGAAAGCATTACTCAATGCTTTCCTATGGACGTCCAGCTTCTTCTCACTGTGATTTTCACAGTGAGAATCGCAGAAGCGACTCTAGCGGCTGTCAGTGAGACTGCTACTAGAGGCTGGATTAACCCTCAGTGAAACATAGCAGTACATACCGCGGTCGCAGGGGGGGCACAAATCAACTTTCGCACCGGGGCACCATGGATCGTGTGTACGCCACTGCCTGAAGGTAATGATTCTACTCACCAGAACAAATTTAATAAGCTGTAGTTGTTCTGGTGACTATAGTGTCCCTTTAAGCCTGTTCATAACTCTTTTAAATTGCTACTTACTCCTAGAAATTAACGATGTGTCGTGCTATGATTATATATATTTATTTTTTGTTTGACAATTTAGATTTTATATTGCATTATATTCCAAATACAAACAAGGTAGCCAATATAGGGACTGACAGAGGGGGGAGGCGTGGGAGGTGCGGGCGGACAGGAAAATGCCGCCGCATTCATTATAGATTGCATCGGTGCAATCTGGGAACACGTAAGACCACTGAGAAGGGTATTAAAGTAATCAAAGCAAGAAAGAACAACGGCATGGACCAGCACCTTAGCCGCGTCTGGTGTTAAATAGGGGCAGGTCCGAGCTATGTTTTTGAGATGGAAGTGGCAGGATTTGGTGATCGACTGGACATGAGGGGTGAAGGAGAGGTTGGAGTCAAGGACCTAGACAGCGAGCCTGCGAGGTAGAGGTGATAGTGGTGCCGTTGACTTGGAGGGAGACAGACATGGGAGTAGCAACACTTGAGGGAGGAAAGACCATTACTTTACTGAGAGGGTAGTAGATGCATGGAGTAGCCTTCCATCTGAAGTGGTAGAGGTTAACAAAGTAAATGAGTTTAAGCATGCGTGGGATAGGCATAAGGCTATCCTAACTATAAGATAAGGCTAGGGACTAATGAAAGTATTTCGAAAATTGGGCAGACTAGATGGGCCGAATGGTTCTTATCTGCCGTCAAATTCTATGTTTCTATGTTTCTAAGACCAGAAGTTCTGTTTTGGACAGGTTGAGTTTAAGAAAGGAAAAAATCTGTCTGCCTTAAATGGACACTCCAGACAGCTAGAACACTTTAGCTTGCTTAAGTGAGAAGAGTCTGTACTCTTCTTTTTTCATTTTAAAATAGATTTCAATAGAAATGAAAATTTTAAAAATTAACCTTGTTATGCCTCCTGGCTGTCAATCAAACAACCAGTCCTGTTACTTCCTGGTTTGGTTAGATCAGTAGAGCTAAACTCAAGAGTCAGGAATTACCCAGAGCACTTGCCTTGAAAGACATCTTGTTGAGCTGCATTGATTGTAAAACCATAGACAGTCTGGGAGGGGTTAGAAGGGGAGGGCTTGCAAAGGCTTCAGACAATGAATCTGCAGCTATTATAGGCTTTTTTTAGATATATCCTTAGTGAAAAATGCATAATTAACCCCTTCAAGACGGAGTCAATAGTGCACGTTCTGATCAAAACAAAACGTAAACAAAAACTGGAATTTGCACTATATGTCTGTTCAACCGTAATTCACCGCTGTCACATTAAGTGCACCCACACTTTTTTATATCATTTTGTTCAGGAGAACCAGGGCTTTAATTTAACATTAAAGCGGCACTGTCATGCCGAACTTACCTTTCCTCAATCTCTTCCTCTTCTCCCCCTCTCTCAGGATCTGTTATTCTTTTCTTCCTGTCTTCTTGAGTTTTCTTTAAAATCATAAGACAAAGTAGGGACTTTTTGCCTTATGGAGGATTCCTCCGCTTGACCAGCTCTGACCAGCGGAGGAGCAAAGTGTGCTTCATTTCCGCTGGTCAGAGCAATTTTCCCATGATCCTTACCTTTCCCGCGATGCTTCCTGTCACTTTACACTAAACTGCCGAATTGCGTTCTAACTGAATGAGAACAGTATGTTCGTTTCTTTTAGAACGCAATTCGGCATTTTATTCGGATCGGAATTTCATTCTAATGAATGAAACTCCGATCCTATTCATTGCCGCGGCTGCATCTTGCAGCCGCTTAGTAGATAACTCCCTAATTCCCACGGTATCAGGGAGTTATCTACTAAAAGGCTGAAAGACCTAAATTGGTCTTTCAGCCAACTTTACTAATACTAAGTAAAGATTACTTAGTATTAGTAAATTGAATGCCCCTACTCGCTATACCGCGAGAAGGGGCATGTGTAGTAAGCAGTGAGCAGCTTATAGCTGCTCACTGTAAAAAACAAAAAAAAACTAATAACCCCCCCACCCCCCAGGGGCACTAAATAAAGATGGGGGGGACCTACTGTCCCCCCCGGCCCCCACCCCTGAGCGGTGGGTGGGGCCCTAAATAAAAACCCACCCCGCTGGGTGGGTGGGGTCCCCAGTAAAAGGGGGGGCCCTAATATGGGGGGGGACCTACTGGGCCCCCTGGCCCCCACCCCTGAGCTGGGTGGGGCCCTAATAAAACAATGTGAGGGGGGACCTACTGTCTCCCCCCCAGCCCCCTGAGCGGTGGGTGGGGGCCCTAAATGAAACCCCCCCAATCAAGGTGACTAGGGGTCCCAAGCCCCTAGTCACCCCCACCCAAAAAAACCCTATCCCCTACCTACCCCCCTCACCCTAAAAATAGTGAGGGGGGAATAAAATAACTAACCTGTAAAAAAAAAAAAATTTAACTTACATTTGACGTCTTCTTTTTTCTAAAATCTTCTTTCTTCAGCCCCCAAAAAGGCCAAATAAAAATCCATTATACCCGTCGCACTTTAAAAAAAAAAAAAAACGAGCGCAAAAAAAAATTAATCCATGTTCGCCCTTCGAGGGCACGCCGCAGTACTGAGCTCCGCAGGGCGGGTCAAGGCTTATAAAGCCTTGCCCCGCCCTGCAATTAGGCTTAGAACACTCTGATTGGTGGGTTTAAGCCAATCAGAGTGCTCTGAGTCATTTTACACAGCGTGGGAAAATTCAAAAGAACTTTCCCATGCTGTGTAAAATGACACAGAGCACTCTGATTGGGGGCCGGGGGGGGGAGGACAGTAGGTCCCCCCCCCTCTCATTATCTTCATGGCCCCCACCCGCCGCTCAAGGTGGGGGAGGGGGGGAGGACAATAGGTCCGTCCCCCCTTATTGTCATTTATGTCATTTTTTTTCAACAGTGAGCAGCCACAGGCTGCTCACTGTTTAGTAGACATGCCCCTACTCGCGGTATAGCGAGTAGGGGGATTTGGGAGATTTTAATCTCCCTTGTGTTATTATGGGGGTCATATTGACCCCCATAGAGTGAGAGGGGGACCTGAGGGGGCTTATGAAGTGGTGGGGAGCACTGCTCCCTGCCGCTTCTATCTTTACATATTACAAGGAGGGAGCTGCGTGCCGGTAGCTCCCTCCTTGTAATAAACTGAACGAACAAACTAACACTGATACATAGTGTTTGTTTGTTCGGCTGATATTTCTATTCACTCATTCGTCTGTCTGATGATTGAATGAATAGATGAAATTCCCGTTCGCATGTCCAGGTGTTTCACAGGGCATGTGCGGGAATCTCACGGTCTGCCTAGTGTGGGCTGATGACGTGTCCCACAGGGACTTCATCTACCCACACAAAGATGGCGGCGCCCTGAATCAAGATCGGGGCAGAAAATAAGGATTTAAAAATAGGTAATGTGGGGAGCTTATGGGCATTTGAGGGTGACTAGTGGGTCAATTGGATGTAGTGGAGGCGGGAGGGGGGTTAAAAAAAAAACGGGATTCGGCATGACAGTGCCGCTTTAACTATTCATATATGGAACATAATTTATTATGAATAAAATTTAAAAAAATGTGAGAAAATAAGATTTTTTTTTAAATTTGTATTTCCGTCTGACATTTTAGCTGTGAATGTCATAATACTGTTAGGTTTTACTGCAAAAAAATGCACATATTTGTAATCAGCAATGTCTCACGAGTACAACAGTACCCCCCATTAACAGGTTTTATGGTGTTTTAGAAAGTTACCTGGTCAAATATAGAACGTTCCATTTTCAAATTGAAATTTGCCAGATTAGTAATGTTACCTTTGAGACTGTGTGGTAGCCCAGGAATGAGAATTACCCCCATAATGGCATACCATTTGAAAAAGTAGACAACCCAAGGTATTGAAAGTGGGGTATGTTTAGTCTTTTTTAGTAGCCACTTAGTCACAAACACTGGCAAGCCTTATATGTGACTCTGAAATGCAAGCCTTATATGTGACTCTCTAACATAGGTGTGCGCACAAGGTGTGCCGGGTGTGCCTGGGCACACCCTAATCCCCGCGGCCCGTGCTATGTGCCTCCATGGGCCCAAGGGGAGTTCAAAGATCTCCCTCACCGGCTCACAAGCAGGGAGGGGGGCAGGAGAGGACCCAAGGAGCGTGTATATATATATATATATATATATATATATATATATATGTGTGTATATATATCTGGGCGTATGTTTTTATGCTTTAGGGTGCACACCCTTGTACAATAGGCTGCACACGCCTATGCTCTCTAACTTTCCAAAACACCATAAAACCTGTACATGGGGGGTACTGTTATTCTCGGGAGACTTCACTAAACACAAATATTGGTGGTTTAAAACAGTAAAACATATTACACCAATAATATAGACCATAAAAGTGCCATTCGTTTGTAAAACAAAAATGCAAAAAAGTCACTTTTACTTAAAATATCATCGTTGTAATATAATTTACCAGTTTGAAACACTAATATTTGAGTTCAGCGAAGTCTCCTGAGTAAAACAGTACCCCCTATGTACAGGTTTTATGGTGTTTTGGAGAGTTACAGGGTCAAATATAGTGCTTGCGAATTAAATTCTCTGCACTTTCTCCCTGTGTTGTCAGGCATGTCAATCAAATTTTAATTAATCAAATCACATAATTATGTTAAAAGATTACTTAAATATACATGTAGAATTTTAACATATATGCATTTATAGGTATTTAAATTCTACGTGTGTACTAATGTAATCTTTTATGTAATTATATGTATTTATCTATATATATATATTTGCGGTTATTTGTATTTTATATATAGATAGATATATATAGAATGCCATTCTAAGTGTATTTTGTTACCAATATATATATATTAATAACAAAATACTGTTAGAATGAAATTACATATGAATATATAATTTATATAAAATTTTGTTTCAATATTTTATTTATTTATTTTATTATTGTATTTATTTATTATTGCAATTATTCGTATATATATATATATATATATATATATATATATAATATATGTGTATATATCATTATATATATACATATATATATACTTATATATATGTAACATCATTCTAAGTGTATTTTAATACTAATATATTTACTTATATTGTACTTATATGTACTTATAGTAATATTAAAATACACTTTGTATGACGTTATATATATATATATAAATACATTTATTTTATTTTTAAACATGTTGAATTAATTTTTTTTTACTTTCCCACCAGCAGGGGGACTGTCTGACATTTCAGACAGTCCCCCTGCAGGCAGATCCACAGCCAGCTATAGGGGGCCATGTGATCGCTCTTTGTAAGAGCGATCACATACCTCCTGGGGGCCTCATTTGCCGGGAAAGGGCTGCCTGGGCTGTCAGGCAGCCCTCCAGAATAGGATCGCGGCGGAGGTAAGTACGCCGGACCTTTAAAGCCCATTGCGGAACGGTATAGAACGCTGTATCGGCTTTAACGGGTTAAATACATCCTTGTTTTCATTGGGAGGTATATCTACTAAACAAAGATTTATTTATTTTATTTAGCTATTAAAGTGTCACTTTAAAGGAAAATTCTCAAGTCCTATAAAGTTCTCTCCCAGAGTGCTGACATTTTTCAGTCAGTAGCAGTGGTCCGTGCAAGCAGAGTGATCTTCAGTCGGATATGTACCGCTACTGATTGACAATCAGTCCAAATGGCAGAAGAAAAAGAGGTATAAACCTTAGTCTGCAGGTGGCTAAACCTATATTTCCCTATTATGTTCAGCCAGTCTTCTTAATAGCTGAAGAGTGTTAGACATATAGTATTCAGACACTACAGTGGAAATCATGGTTAGCTCCCAGAATTCACAAGCAGCCATCCGGACAGTGTCCTCTGCCAACTGGAGTGAGGCTTATCAGGTGCTGCGGAAGGGAGAGGTGGCCAATCTCCCAAACCTGCCCAGCCTGATCTCCAGCAACATCTTGATGGTGCCCCGCTGCACCCCCTTTGGACCGGTGGAGGTGATCCTCACTCTACCAGGAATCTGCAGTACCATTGTAAGCAGCAACAGCACACCTAATGGCGTGCTCAAAATGGGGGATGCTACATGCCCCTCTGCTCGACTAAAGGAACTATATCCAAGCTGGATAAAATCCTCAGTGATTTCTGGCGGAAGATGTTCTTTTAGCGACCTGGACCTGCCCTACAAGTTTAACAGGATAGCGGACCTGGGAGTTCTCCCCAACAGCCTTAGATCTGACCCATGGTGTCAGGCGCTGGGAGAGCAAGTAAGTGGCGGCAAAGTCTATGTCAGCGGCTCACAAAGGGTGCAGTATGCAGGCCTGCATTGGAGCTGGGCAATTACAGGGCTAGCGATGGGAGTCTCAAGCAGGATTCAGCAAGAAGGGGAGAACAGATGGAGATACTCTATCACCTGGGTAATGTATTGACAACATCTCTACCACTTAGCCTGCCAACTCACCTCATTATCTGGTACTAGATGGACGTTCTGCTCATTCTACTTTCACACACAGCCAGGAGAAATCATGGTGGGGATAGGATGTCCTTGTTCCTTAGTTTAATTTTATGATGTTGCATGTCCCTTCCCCCACCTTATGAAAGTTTTCTTTTTCTGCTGACAACGGATTATATGTCCCATCATATTAAGGACAATCATATTTACCTCTGAAGTCTGGAGTGGCACATCATTCTTGCTAATATCTATATACTGACAAGGGGAGGGCTGGCAGCCTTAGACCTGGAGGGCAAATCCAGTCAAGTGGCCCATTGCACCCAGGCAGCCCTCCCACGGCAAATGAGGCCACATGGCCCCCTATAGCTGGCTGTGGATCTGCCTGCAGGGGGACTGTCTGAAATGTCAGACAGTCCCCCTGCTGGTGGGAAAGTAAAAAAGAGGAGAGTAAAACACCTTGGCAGTCACCTAAACAGACACACTCAGTGACAGGCACACCAGGGGAGGGCTGGCAGCCTTAGACCTGGAGGGCAAATCCAGTCAAGTGGCCTATTGCACCAAGAGGAGAGTAAAAACACCATGGCAGTCACCTAAACAGGCACACACACTTGCTGATTTGACACACACTAACAAATACACACTCACTGACAGACACACACACGACACACACATACACACTCTCTCTCTGTTACAGGCATGCTGCCTCACACAGACAGACATACTGACACACAAACACAAACACAGGCATACTGACTGACACACACACACACACACACACAGACAAACTGGCACACACAGTGCAGGGAGAGTGAGGTAAGTTGAAAAATCCAAGTCCCCAGCCAGAGGCAAGGGATTCGGATTTTTCCTTTTTTTGCTGTAGCATATCGGAGCATAGCATCTCGAATTGTATGAGATACCTGTGGACAAGATGTTTGTTTTTTCCAGGGAGTGAAGCATAGAAACCCTGGATCTGAAAGTACCTAAACGTGTGTAGACCCATCATGTTCCTTTGTGTAAGCAGCTTACCTAATGGTTTTAGATTCCCATTCGAGCACCATTGTCTGAGGCAGATCCAGTCCGTGTGTCCGAGTCCCATGAGATCACGCGGTATTAGTCCGCTTGCTACATCTGGGTTGTTGACTAACGGAGTCAAGGGTGATAGATTGTTCATGATTTGTTGTTTGAACCTCAGTGAGGACCAAACCCATAATAAAACAGGAGCTCTTGTAGTTGCCTATATTGTAGGGGATCCGGTAGCCAAATTACTGCTGGAAAGTGTCCCTCCCTGAACCTGGGTACATTTGAGTCGGACCCAATGTTTTTTGGTGTCTTTCACATGCCAGTCAGCCAATCACAAAAGGTGCATGGTGCAAAAGTACAGCTGGATGCAGGGCAGGCCCATTCCACCAAGGCATTTCTGCTGTGTCTGCTTTATTCTCAATGGTCCAGATTTCCAGATAAACGTCAATAACGCAGATCCGAGTGCTCGGAAGAAAACCTGTGAGAAATCTTTTGTTAGTCATATTCTGAGGTATTTAATTCAGTTTGTGCACCTTTTTAATGGAAATTGTGTTTTAAGGTGTTCGACTATGTCCGTGGGCAGTATGACAGGAAGCGCTTCCAACTTGTTAGTATTAAGTTTTAAAATGTGTATAGGTTCCAACAACATACTTGGTTAAGAGGGAGGTGGGAAGGGCACGAGGGGCCAATCAGGTAGGAGCTGCAGCCGTTACTGATGGGAACACGCCCCAGTACTTTCTTTTTGACGGCCGATAATAAATTCAGTAACGTGATAAGTGGATTTTCTACAAAAAAAGTATGTCATCCATGTAGGCAGCAACCTTATGGACAACCGTTCCATGGGTGAACCCCAGTAAAACCCTCATCCTGTCTGATCGCCCTCAGAAAAGGTTCAAGAGAAAAGGCAAACATGGTGTATTCCATTTTGAATCGAGAGTGCAGTGTAAAGGACGTCTTTGATTCGTAGGCGGGACTTTGGAGTCGTGTACAGTGATAATATCCATGTATGCACAATAGAGCCGAATCCCATCTTCCGCAGTTTCGCCAGCATGAACTGCCAGTTCACCCAGTCAAACTCCTTCTCAGCCTCGGTAGAGAGGAGAAGGATCTTTCCGGAGATGTTCCGTGCTTCATGCAGGATATTTAACACCCGAATAGCGTTATCTTTCACCTCCCCACCTGGTATAAAGCCAACCTGTTCCAGGTGATCCAGGGCAGGGGCCACTCAACTTATGTACATTGCCAGTACCTTGGTGAATAATTTAAAGAGCACATTGAGTAATGAGATAGACCTGTAGCTAATGCAGGCAGAGGGGTCCTTGCCCTCCTTCGGAATCACAGCTATAGTGGCCATGAGGGCATCATCCTGGAACCAGCCACCTTTGAGAAGAGCGTTCAGGCCCACCAATATCTTTGTTAAGAGCACGTCTCTAAAGGTCTTGAAATATCATGCAGGGAGGCCATACAGGCCTTGTTCAATTTCGCGATCTTTAAGGCCTCTTCTAGTTCCTCCCATGTGATTGGAGAGTCCGGTTTTTCAATAGTTCCTGTGTTGAGGTCTGAGTCACATAACAGTCCAAATATTCCCATTCTCCGATGATTTTATCTGGAAGTTGAGTAGTGGAGTCCATCATGTCTTAATCCTGGTAATGTGGCATAGACAGCGTTTCCTCTGTAGCAAACAACTATTTGAAAATTTGTAGAAATGTCTATTCGATTTGCGGAGGGTATACGTTAACTTTTGAGAGAGTAGTTGTCTAAAAGATCTACGAACCTCCAGAAGAGACCTTTATCTGTTTTTCGATAGGGAAATTTTATGGGCTTGTTCCAGATGGGAGACTCTCTGGTGAATGTCCACCAGCTGTCGGCTGTGCTCCTTTTTATGGAATGTGCTAATATTAGTAAAGTGACCATGTATGATGCACTTTTGGGGCTCCAGCATATCACGGGAGAGGTCTCGGGGGAGCTTTTCTCTATTTTCCTTGAAGTAGTGCTGTAACACTGTGCGGGTCTCCTCCAGTACAAGCAGATCGCCCAGCAGTTGCTCATTAAGTTTCCTTGTCTATATTTTGGTTCAAACAGGTGGGCTGAAATCGGAGAGTGGTCTAACCATATAGTCATTTGATTGCCACAGGTCTGCAGTAGGGTCAATTATTCTTGCAAGCTAAAGATATAGTTGTGTCGACTGTATCTTTTGTCTATGGGTGAGTAG